AAAATTAACATACAGTAGTTTAAATAAATTATTAAATTAAAAATTAAAGTTTAACATTAAATATTTTTTTTAAAATGTATAATAATAATATATTATAATAATGACTAATTAATATGACAAATTTGTGGGTTTATATTATAATGTCGGTGTTGTGTTTTTGTATATATAAGTGCCTTGTGTATATTATAATAATATGTGAATATAGTGTGAAGTTTTGATTGATTTTTAGATGTCGCGATGATGAGATTGTAAGAGCTAAAAATATATAAGTATTTACATTTAATAGATTTTCGCAGCTATCATAAACGATTATTCAGTCACGATAAAAGTGCAACTTTTATTAGTTTTTGGTTAAGTTTCCAAGTTTCTTAAATACTAAAAGCCACTGAAGAAGATTAGCCAATCCCTTTGCAGGTTGCAGGAGTGTACAAGCTTGATTGGGAATGTAGACCACATTCTCTTACATAGGACATACAAAAAGATCAATTAGAGCCCGGATAAAAGAACGTATCGCTGATGTGAAGCACCGATGCTCCGGGAAGTCTGCACTCTGCAGTATGTCAACATGTTCAGGATCGTCCTAACTATTATATTATATTTAATAGAGCACAACACCTCGCAAAACAAACACCGATTCCCACAAAGGATGATTCGCGAGGCTATTGAAATTAAAAAAAAAACCTTATTTCGATAGAGAAGAAGGCTGGGTGAATCCATCTGCCTGTGATCTTATAATTAATAATATTAAATCCAAACACTAGCAAACCACTGCAAGACTTCAAGGTACTGTAAACTCGTTCTGTGTAGATCGGTCCAAAAATTGATAACAAAAAGTTGAAGGTAGCTTTCGTTAACTATGACATCGGGACGTCAAACTCCTGCCTCTCGCCGTGACTTGTAAAGTGCCCGAAACATCGGGAAATAAAAAAAGTTATAATTAATTGCGATAAAATCCATAAAATTAGTTTTATTCCATTAGAATTAGATATTCAAGTTTAAAAACGTGTAAATGACACTGTTCCGCTTGTTTATTATCCATAAAGGTCCTGCAGTCTTACGCTTTGTTATCCAAAAAACATAGGAATTGTAGTAGTAAAATGTTTAAAATGTACCAATGTACGAGTACAAAATTACTATAATTTGGTACCAACAAAATATTGCGTCGACAAATTATAGCGACGGGCGAGCTATTCTCAAATTTGTTGACATTCGTTAGTGGGTTCGAATCCCGATCGGGCCGAAATCAACTGTTGAGTTTTTCTGTTAAGGAATTCTTAGTGGCACTCGGGAAGTCGGCGGTGTTACATCTCCATGTCTCAGAAAGTACGTAAATCTGTTGGTTCTGTGCTTGATCTCTTTCCGGTGTTGTCGGATTACCATACCATCGGATTAAGGTAGTAATGGAATAGAAAGTGCACAAGTGCTTGTGCATACACTCGGGCACTATAATCCTGTCCTGCGCCGATGGCTAGTCTCCGTTGAGGCAGGCCGCCGTGACCGAAATTCGGTCTGGAGGACATTATTTCCCTTCATATATCCCGTCCATCCTTGTATCTATCATACTTATCCTCAACCGTCATCATCTTTTTTTACTTAATTGCTTATTTATTTGAGCCGTGGTAGCTCAGATGGTTAACGTTCGCTGTAAATATAACAGAACGCGAGTAACCCCGATTCGATCCCCGCCGGCACCAATGAAATTTTTTATTGCAATTTTAAGTGCTGATTTACCACGTACTCAGCGGGGACGAAAAACATCGTGAGGAAACCTGCATGTCTGAGGAATTAAAAAAAATATTTCGAAGTCATTTGAAGATCTCCAACGCTGCGTGGCAGACACTTCCTTGCCCTAAAACCCTCTCAGATGAGGGAAGACCTGTGCCCAGCAGTGGGACGTATATAGGCTGTAACTTTTATTTAAGTCAAGTAAATAAGTATATGATCCGCCCAGCCAATAATTTTGCTTTACTTACCATAAGAACCAATTATGAACCAACATAACTAATGGGGATTACATATATACAATAAACTTCCAAAACATATGAAAGAAACTTAGACCAATAGTCTACGGAAAGAAGCGACTTCGATCAATATTTTTAAAAGAAAATTGAATACAGCCAATCGCAAGTCCACTGCTGAACATAGGCCTCCCCAAAGGAACGCCACAAAGCACGGTCCTGAGCCACCTGCATCCGGAGACTGGGAGCCGTTTCTTCGCGTGGGATGTTCGCACCCAATTTGGTTGACAACCGTAGTTTTTATTTTTTATTTTTTTATAGGATAGGGTGACAAACGAGCACACAGTCCACCTGATGGTAAGTGGTTGCTGCGGCCCATAGACATCTACATCTATCTTCCATTACAAATCAAAATGCAGATGCGTTGTCACCCGTGAGGACTGAGATGGAATGCCTCATTTCCAGTAAAAAGGGTCTCCGGTTCTCTACACTCACCATACGAAATACAGCAGCATTAAGCTACTATTTCACGCTGGTATTCTGTGAGAGCGTGGTCCTTCCCCGGTCGAGCCGACCCATTCGTGCTACAACTATACTACTAATATAACTGCAGCATGGCTCTACCACGTAAAAAACCACATCCGCTCAATGAAATCAAGTGATGTGTCTTACCTTGTTTGAAGTGCACCTCCAGGCCAACGTCAATCGCAAGAGAATCCTCAGATGTAGAGGCGAAACACATCACGTATTACCGACGTTGGTGTGTTCCCTAGTGTAGTGGTGACGGGATTAGTGCACGCAATTAAGGGAGGTCGGAAGGTGCTCTTTAAACTAGGTAAGACACATCATTTTATATTAAGCGCATATGGGCGAAGTAATTCTTACCAACTTTAATATAATGAATTTGTGTAAAGTAACGCCTGATTCTATTAACATACAGTATTTATAAAAAATAATCTTTGTATTAAAGTTAACTTGGATCACCGCCCTACTGTTAGATAAGACATTTAATTATATACAGGTATATAATCAAAGGATAAGACAGATTTTGAATATCTGTTAAGTATTATAATCTTTATACATATTCAAAAACTTCCACGTTAGGCATAGAATAAATATTAGTACTAGACGGACTCTGTTGCCTTAGTACATTGCGCACTAAGAAGTTACGTTTTACGTTTTTTTACGTGGTAGAGCCATTCTGCAGCTATATTAGTAGATAGTTGTAGCACGAATGGGTCGGCTCGACCGGAGAAGGACCACTTTCTCACGGAATACCAGCGTAAAATAGCAGTTCAACGCTGCATTAACGCGTATGGTGAGTGTAAAGAACCGGAGACCGTTTTTACTGGAAACGAGGCATTCTATCTAAGTCCTCATAGGTAACAACAGCTTCTGCATTTCGATTCGTAATCTAGGACAAATTTAGATGTCTACTTACGACTCCTCTTGGTGAAATTTAAATAAGAGGGCTCTTATGATTATTTTTAAATTCCGAAATACATACTATCAGTTTTTGAGGTTATAATTAATTATTTCACCAAAAATAGCTGGATTTCATGCTGGTTCTTCCCGGGACCGAGACATTTTTGAACCAATATTCCGAACCAATGTGATTTATAATCTGTATTGAACAACAAACAAGCAAGAATTAAAAAACCCGATTACGTAAAAAATACCTTACCCTGCCTTTATATCCGATGTCACACCCACAAGGAAGGTGAATCTAACGACACCTCGTATATTGAAATCCATCAAGCCCGTTTAGGTAAATACTTAGTTTAGGAAATAGACATACATGTATACATATAGGCATTCTCGAAATACATTAGCCTCTAAGAACATTCTCGAAAAACATTACCTTTTACGTGGTAGAGCCACACTGCAGCTATTATGGTTGTAGCATGAATGGGTCGGCTCGACCGGGGAAGGACCACGCTCTCATAGAATACCTGCGTAAAATAGCAGCTTAATACTGCTGTGTTTCGTATGGTGAGTGTAGAGAACCGAAGACCTGTTTTACTGAAATCGAGGCATTCCATCTTCGTCCTCAAGGGTGACAACGCATCTGCATTTTGATTCTTAAGCGAGGTTAAATGTAGATGTCTATGAGCCACAGCATCCACTTACCAACAGGTGGACTGTATGCCCGTTTTGTCACTCTTATACTATTAAAAAAAACCCTCCTTGGGCTGTCGGTTAAAAATGTTTCTATTTATTTTAAAAATCCGATGATCCAAACAAATTTTTTTGTATCGTGAATTCGTGAAGGTATTTTACAAACAAAAAATGCACATGAGAAAACATTCAAACATGGAACAATAATTATTTGTACATACACAAAAGCCACGTTCCGTGTGGGATTCGAACCCGCATTGTATAATAACACGTTACATACCAACCTACTTACAAACGCCATTTTCATGTTATGGTTGTATGAAATAAAAAAATCTGATTTTAAACTTTGAATTTCTCGACCAAAGTAGTTTTATTACGTTGATACATTTATTATTACATTCTCGCGTCTTCTGTCTACCCTGATTGACGACAGTAAATAAGTTTGTCACTCGAACGAAAACCAGATTGTGTTGTTTTTTATATTATGTGTAAAATTTTTATAATATGTACTTATCATAGGTAGTAAAGTGGCAGCGGTGGGATCTCCTTATAACTGTAATTATTTTTTTAAAACAAACTAGGGTTACGTACTACAGTAGTAGTAGTAGTAGTAGTAGGAGTAGTAGTTAGGGTTACATATACGTAGTACTATTATTTATTCTGTGCAAAGGCAGTGTTGTCTTGAATATTAAAAAAACAATTTGTGAAATAAATGATTACAATTAAACATTACATACTCTATGTAAAGAGAAAATTAATAAGAAAAATACGTAAAGCAATATTAAAAAAATATGAAACAAATTACTATTTATTCAGATAAATCGAAAATATTAGCTTTAATGCACACCGTAATAGAAGTCAGTTTTCCTCTCAACACAGTACTTAAAGTGATTAACAATTATCAATAATAAAAAATACACTTACCAATTGAGACTATCAGCTTATATTTCACTATAATAGTTCATCAATTTTATTATTCATTTACTTAACTTCAACTCTAACTAAATCAACGTTAAATTAACTTTAAAAACAAGTGACCAACTGAACAACGTAGAAACTGTCTGTCAATGTTGAATGTCCCATCTTCACTGGACTGGTTCACTGCTTCCAGTTAAATCTAAGGTTATTTATATACTGCAGTGTATTATCTGTGCCCACTGTTAATCAAGATAACTGGACAATGAACTCGGTTAAAGTTTATGTGTGATAGTTACATTACTATTACGATAATAAATAAATTGTAACTTAACACGACCAAAGAATATAATTTGAGTCAGAGAGCAATTCAACTAAAACGGGAAGGTTTTTTATGTTAAAAACGAAATAAATCTGACCTATGAGAACAAAAAGATAAATGAGTTTTATAAATTAAAAGAATTCCAAGCAGAGGAAAGATCATTTGGTAACATTTAGTTTATATAAACCTATATTTATTTATATAGAATTATTACTAGCCCGTCTAAAGTCCTGTGTTAAACATTTATATATTTATTTATTCAGCCAAACTTATCACTAACATTATGTTATTATACTTATGACCTAATGCGCTAGTGTAAACATTTTACTACTTATGTAATTTAATTTAACCAGAGTGACCGACATAAACCAACGGATTAGTAAACTGAAGTGGCAGTGGGCTAGCCATATAGCTCGAAGAACCGACAACCGATGGGGATGAAAGGTTCTCGAGTGGCAGCCTCGTACTAGTAAGCGTAGTGTAGGGCGACCCCCCACTAGATGGAGTGATGACCTGGTAAGACATGCAGGAAGTCGATGGATGCAGGTGGCTCAGGACCGTGCTTTGTGGCGTTCCTTGAGGGATTCCTTGATGATGATGATGATAATTTAAACTATTTTAAAATAATATAAATAATTCCGCCTTTGTGAAATAAATCTGCGGATATTTGAATATGCCTACTTCCTCATGTATTAGTTTAAATAGTTTGGTGGTGCGAAGTAGGCTTTGATTGCCTCAAAAGGGGGATGTGTGCCAAGCTGTCACGCTTTTCAGGTAGGTTGGTAACCGTAATTTTTTATTTTTAGTTGTTAAAGACTCTGTTGCTTATCTCCTAGTTTTTTTTCGCTCTGTCGCGCCTTACGACACCCACGGGACGATATGGGGTAGTGGGTATTCTTAGAGTGGCACGGTGAGAATAAATTTTATTATTCTCTAAGTTTTTTTTACGTGGTAGACCCATGCCGCAGCTATATTGTGGTTGCAGCACGAATGGGTCGGCTCGTCCGGGGTAGGCCCACGCTCTCACAGGAAACCAGCGTAAAATAGCAGCTTAATACTGCTGTGTTTCGTATGGTGAGTGTAGAGAACTAGAGACCATGTTTACTGGAAACAAGGCATTTCATGTCAGTCCTCAGGGGTGCGTTGTCTCGCATCTGCATTTTGATTCTTATTTGAAGGTAAATATATCTATGAGCCACAGCATCCACTTACCATCAGGTGGACTGTGCTCGACTGTCGCCCTTATTCTATAAAAAAAGTAAATTGCCCTGCAGTGTGAGCCCTTACGTTCACACTGCAGGGCAATTTACTTTTTTTGAATGCACTACCCTACATCATCCCTTTGCTGCAATTGTCGTAAGATGCGAGAAATAAAACAAGAGGCGTGCGAATGATCTGTGACTCAAAAATATTCCAAGAAGAGCGGCCAAGAGCGTGTCGGGCCACGCTCAGTGTAGGGTTCCGTAGTTTCCCGTCCGTCACAATAAGTGTTCCCACGTTATGAACGTTATGAGTTTAAAGGTGGGTATTCATTATGTTCGCGCTCCAGCAGCGCTCCGCGCTCCTGCAACTGCTCCCGGTAGTGGGTACTGTTGTTTCCATCCAAGTTCAAAATGATTTTCCTAGAAAGTCCTTATAAAGTTCTACTTTTCAGATTTTTTTCGTATTTTCTAAACCTATGGTTCAAAAGTTATAGGGGGGGGGGACACATTGTTTTTTACTTTTGGAGCGATTATTTCCGAAATTATTGACTTTATTAAAAAATGATTTTTAGTAAACCCCTATTCATTTTTAAATACCTTTCCAACAATATATCACACATTAGGATTGAAATTAAAAAAAAAAATCACTTCCCACTTTACATATAGCGGGGCTACCCTAATAAAACATTTTTTTCCAATTTTTATTTTACCACTTTGTCGGCGTGATTGATACACATATTGGTACCAAATTTCAGCTTCCTAGTGCTAACGGTCACACAGATTAAGCGAGGACGGACAGACGGACAGACAGACATGGCGAAACTATAAGGGTTCCTAGTTCACTACGGAACCCTAAAAAGAATGTTATATTCACTCTACGTTTACTACGCAGGGAAATTTAATTGACTCCTGACTCGACGTCTGAACACATGAGCAAAGAAACCGACCAGAGGGGAAGCCACATACAAACGGCTCGATGCGATTATACCCATACATAGCGCAGCGATGTGCATGTGCATACCCATACATAGTTCACCGACGCTCTGTCGTGGTACAAACTGGTTTGCGCCGGCTCTAGACATATGTCAATCTTTCATTTATAGCAACCGAATCGAATGAACCGAATTTAAAAGCGACAGTAGCCTAATGGCAGGGTGCGAACCGCGAACTCAAAAAAGGTAGTGGGTTCAAATCCACCATTCGACTACTGGCGTGAACCACTCGTAACACAAGCAATTTAAGCTTACCACGAGTGGTGAAAGGGGAATATTAGTAATGTTTGTAGCATTGTTAATATTCTTTTAAAAAAAAAAATTTAAAAAAAAAAAATCATTCTAGTACTGCTGAACATAGGCCTCCCCCAAGGAATGCCACAAAGCACCGTCTTGAGCCATCTGCATCCACAGACTTCCTGCACGTCCAGGTTGTCCCTCTATCTAGTGGGGGATCGCCCTACTCTTCGTCTACCGATACGAGGCTGCCACTCGAAAAAAAATTCCCATCGATTGTTAGTTCTTCGAACTATATGGTCGGTCCACTCTGGTTCTACTGTGGATATCCTCATTTCTAAGTTTATCACGCAGAGAAACTCTGAGCATAGCCCTCTCCGTGGCTCGCTGGGCTATCATGAGCTTACTCATACGGCTAGCAGTGAAGGACAACGTCTCAGATCTATAAGTCATCACTGTCAGCACGCACTGATTGTACAATCTCGTTTTCAAGTTTTAAGGTATACCTGACGAGGAGATGTGTCGTAATTTCCTCAATCTGCCCAGCCAAGTTGAATCCGCCTATTTACTACATACTTATCTCTCGGACTATTTGTCGCAGGTTCCCCCTGACAACTACCGGCATAAGTGTGACATGCACGTTACACATGATCTTTGTTTTGTTCATGTTCATCTTATGACATATCCGCCGGGAGACACTATTGAGGTCTGAGCATAGTGCTTAGCTCCTCCAGCGATTCTGCCAAAAGGACTGTATCATCAATAAACCGGAGGTGGTAATATACTCGCCCTTGATGTTCATACCGTATCTTTTCTGGTTCAATAGCTTGAAAACGTCTTCTAATGCAGCAGTGAAGAATTTTGGGGATATAAAATCACCCTGTCTTACACCTCTCTGCAGTTGGATAGGTTTCGTATTCTGGTTCTGTACCCGGATAGTCCTCGTAACCCAAAGGAATAAATGGCTTTCTCATAGTTCACATACGCAAGACATAGTGGCAGATTGTACTCCTCGGCCTTCTGTACAATTTGGCGAAGGGTATGTGTGTGGTCTATGGTACTAAGCCTTTTCAGATACCGGCTTGTTCGGGAGGCAAGAAGTCGTCGGGTCCGCGTGCGAAACGATTCGTAATGACTCGAAAACAGCACGTAGACGCAGCTCAGAAGAGAAATCGGTCTATAGTTCTTCAAGTGAGCATTGTCGCTTTTCTTGACGAACAAAACCACCGTACTTCTGCTCCACGCCATGCATCATCAAAACAATGTCCGATAAGACTTGCTTTCTGACCGTTACTCACACTTGCGTGTGTGTAACCTCTCAATCTCACTCAAAATCTCAGATGTCTCGAAAACGATGCTGCCACATTCGGAAATAAGCCTCCTTATAACAACTCTCACAAATTGTTTACATTAGAAGGAAAAAAGGAAAACAAGCGTGTTCGACCGTTTCGTACGTTGGTGAACATGCTTTTCCATTCGCCGGCACAGCTCCGGCACCGGCCCGGCTGCCAGGGAAACAAAATGTATAAATGTATGGCTTGTGCAGGCATGTGTTGCCACTTCCCAACGCCGACGCTGGCGCCGGCACAGCGATAACTCCCACTAGTGCCGTCGCCGCAAGCTTTCCGCTCAGTGCTTGCCGGTTAAAACTGTGTTAGTATCGTGTACGTATTTTCGCCGTGTCCGAGTGCGCGAGCCGAGGTATAAGGGACCCGTTGAGATTGAGACTCGAAATTGACTTGTTGAATGATGAAATGTCTCATCGTTGTTAGTTGAAATATTTTTTGGAATCCATTTTCAACTTTTAAAATAAGGGTGTATACTCGTATCATTTATGTTCCTGTTACGTGGTAGAGTCATGTTGTAGCTATATTAGTAGTGTAGTTGTAGCACGAATGGGTCTGCTCGACCGGGGAAGGACCACACTCTCACAGAATACCAGCGTAAAATAGCAGCTTAACGCAACTGTGTTTCGTATGGTGCGTGTAGGGAACCGGAGGACTTTTTACCGGAAAATAGGCATTCCATATTAGTCCTCACGGGTGACAACGCATCTGCATTTTGATTCGTGATCGAGGATTGATGTAGATCGAGGTTAAAAGTAGAAGTCTATGGGCCACAGCAACCACTTACCATCTGCTGGACTGTGTGCTCGTTTTTCATCCTTACCCTATAAAAAATGTTCCTTTTAAGTATCTTATTTTTAAACTTAGATGAATTCAAAATTTGACTTCTCTGCATTTTTTTATAGGATAGGGT